TTGTGGTCAAAATGCAAACAAAAAACACTGATAATATATGCATTGTCCTTGAAACTGATTGGTCCACACCAGAGACAGCTTTCTTTTGAGCCTCGTCTCAATTGGTGCTAGACCAGAGGACGCCAAAAGGCGTACAGCTCAAAGACAATGCACTTGTTATAAAGCCTGCACTTGTGTCTCAAAAATTACCTCAACCTCTTCTTCTGAAATGCACGTGATGTTAACCGAAATAGAATTGATTAGTTGAAACTCAATGTGTATGAACTATCTAACGTAACTTGAGTTGTGTGTTGAGCAGAGGTGTGGACTCGAGTCATGTGACTTGGACTCGAGTCAGACTCGAGTCATGAATTTGATGACTTCAGACTCGACTTGGACTTGCATAACAATGACTTTGTCCCACCTCTGGTGTTGAGTGACCATAAACAAACCTAAGAATATGAATCTTTGCAGTCACGAAAGCTTCAAATCAGGAATAAACAAACCGCTCAGTAATATTGGAAAGCCTTTGGAAGGAATAGGGTGCACAAAAGTACGGACCACTGGAGCACAATAACCACACTTTACAAAATTAATGTTCTTAAGCACATAATAGAAAATATATATTTTTTAATAGGAATGCTAAAAGTGGGAGTAAATTAAAATGTACGTTGCTTTATAGTATCAATCTACACGTAGGTTAAAAAGGCACCTCTTTTGCATACAGTTGTCAAGTAATCTCAAATATGAACAAGATAAATTGCCTCAATAAACAACACTATGATTGATTGAGTTGATAACTATCGTTCGGACGTATAATGAAGTCCGTAAATCACAATGCATTAAAAGGAGAACTTCCAATTTAAAAGTTGAAACTAAAAACTTTCACTTGGCTGGGATCCAAGCCAAGAGCAATGCAACCATTTAGTCAGCGGAATTTACCAGGAACAAAAGTTATCTTACACAGGATTCTTGGAATGTTATATTAATGAAGTAATTTAGATACAGGATTCACCCACAACCCATGTACATGCTATCATCACCAACTGATTATTGCTAATTATTTACAGCTTGAATCCCTTCTTACATTTTGCGCACACTTATCCGGCAGGGTCCATATCTTTTTCACTCGGAAGCCCATTCCGTGTATAGATTCCGAGCACGTGCAAACAATCACCTTTGTTGCGAGTCTCCTCACTGGTCGAAAAAAATACCATTTCGAGGGTCCTTCAAGTTGGACTTTAAGATCTTGTTAAACACCCTTGCCATGCACGTTGGGTTTCAAGTGCAAGGGTGTGGGACTGGCCCTTTATACAACTAAAGCTTTACACAGTTGACAGGCACTTTCTAACAATTCTAGACCAGGCAGCACTTTCCTTATCACACCCATCACACCTACCAGAGATTCAATGGTTCCAGATGTTCAAACAATGGGGTGATGTAAAGCACATGCGTTGGAGGTTCAAGTTCTACGTGCAGGATAAGTAATACAGCACTATTTTCTTTGCCATTTAGATCAACACTGAAGAGTGACATTGTCAACAGTATTACATAAAGGTAAGCGTTATAAAATACGAAAATGTAAAGTTGCAGATCTGCCATGACTTGCTCAAGACACTGCTGGTGGAAGGGACCTCCACTAGACGGAGGAAGGAGTACCCACACTTTACTCCACCACACACGGCCTGCTGATAGACTAACTACGGTGCACCCATTTATACCTCTCGGGAGGACAGAGGCACGCAATCTAAGAAACTTGTCCATGCACGTATCTTCTCAAGACTCTCTTTCAGGAGGGCCATGTGTTCCCATTTATGATTGTTTGTAATGTGGGGGAAAAGGCATACCCAACGAATACCCACACATATTAAGGGGTACCATTCGACCTGCCATTACAGCAAGCAGTTGGGTTTTATTAAATACAGTATATAAGGTCACACGATGGATGCGTACTGAACTTATCTTACTGCCCTGGCACGTCTAGTGCCACTTGTGCATGTTCACAGTTCTATCGTATGGAGTGCATTCCACATTTTCAAGGCACTCGGTTATCAGCTGCCAATAGCATTTGGCCGATTATGTTTTACTTTGGCAACTGCCAATTGAGAATATGCCTTGAAATGCAGTACTTAGTTGCATTCCATTAACAGCACTGCAGTTCAAAACATCATTAAATATGTGAAGAATTTAAGTTCATACAGTATGCATACATTCCAACTCACAGATTTGTAAGCATGAAGGAATACTGGGCATGATTCTTATTTGTTTGACAGGCGTTCATTCATACGTGGTTGGTGGCCGTGAGCAGACATGGACATTGCCCTCTGTGACAGGGTACACGTCACACAAAGTCCTCGCTTCCACACTGCTGCCCCCATACAAAAACTGGTCTGGCCATTAACAAGCCTATTGTGTGCAAGGCCTGAGATGACCCAAATACAGTGCAGTCATATTTAACTTAAATCTCTACAGCACAGTATACTGTACAATCTTTTTAAAAATGTATACTCAATCTAAAACAGTTTTATATTAAGATGAGGACAGCAATGGGCGAAGACGCATTTAAATAGAAGAAACAGCTCGCGATGGAAAATGTTGACTGATCAATGCATGCATCAGAAGCTTAGGCCACTGAGAATGGATACTGCTGGGAAAATGGACAGGTTTTGAAATGTGGATTTGGCAAAAAATAGAAAAGATTGGCTGGAAAGAAAGAAAGAAAGACGAGTGAAGACTGTTAGGATAAGACAAGCAAAGTCAGGTTTGCAAAATAATCGTACAAATAAAAACAAAATACAATTGGCCATATTGTAAACGATGAACGCTCGATGAGAGACGTGTGCGAGGGATGAAGGGACAGGAAGAGAACAAGGAGCCGTAAGAGGGAATATTGCTAAATGAGTTGAGGAAGGAAGACATTGTGAGGATACAAAGAGAAGAGCAAAAAGACAGGAGAATGGATAAAATAGTGAATACTTTGACGTATGTCGAGGACCCGCTAAAATAGAGAAGGCACATATTGTACTGGACTAGAAACGTGAAAGGAATTCACAACGTCGCGATTGCAAACTATATGTCCTTTACTTCAACCATCATAATATACAGCAACAGAAGCTCAAGCCTCGGCGCCAGGAGGACTCCCTGGCACCGCCCTGCTCTGTCCTGATATAACCCCAACCAGTCCTGCCACCTTAATTTGGAGCTTTCGTGACTGCAGGAATTACTCTTTGGTTCTTTCGGTAAAGTCACGTATAAAGATAAAATAATAAATTAAATAATAGCATACGACGTTTCGATTGCCTCGTCACAGAGACGTTCTCTCTCTCTGTGTGCCGATGTGTGTTCTCTCTCTATGTATCTTGTGATATCTGTCTGCTTATATGTCTGTCTATAGTTTTCTGGTTAGATTTTTGTTTCTATTTCTTTTATACCTGATGATGATTGCTTGTGTTGCAATCGAAACGTCGTATGCTAATATTTAATTTATTATTTTATCTTTATACGTGACTTTACCGAAAGAACCAAAGAGTAAGTCCTGCCACCCTGGGTTTATTCCCCATTATCCACTCCAGCCCGTCAACCACCTGCAGACTTGTTGCCCATTGTGTATGTGGGTGCAGACTCACTCCCCAACCCCATCATTACCCAATTGTCTTTGATATTACACCTCTGCAAATGGTCGGAGTAACTTGCTTTGTTTCATGCACAAAGGGGTTTTATGATGTTATATACAGTGCCGTATTTTAATGTTGAACTTCTTTCGCACCGTACGTAGCAGCCATCCCACCTGTGTAAGAACTTTTTTTTATCGTCAGCCACGAGAGGCTGCTACATTCACCACAGCATCAACATTTTCACAAACACGGAAACACAATTGCGAGGAGAGCGAATCGCTACACCCCCAACATATACATGTGCGTACATTACAGTGCATCCACGCTGGGGCGTGTAAATGCATAATCGCTTGCACTTGCATGTGTGGACTCGTTTCCTGTCTTGTTACCGCCCATTGTTGCTGCAAACGTTTTTCCTGTGAGCTCAACCGTTTATCACGACGGAACAATAAACAGCACCGAATTGAAGTTTTTTTCTCTCTCCCCTCTCTATCCATTAAAAGTCCATCCGAATTGTGCCGAGAGAATAAGAACCCTCAGGAATCTCACGGGAAGCTCGTCGCGATGTCGTGAACTTACGCAAAATCTCACAACAAGCACCCAGGGGCAACACGTGTCCAAAAGGTGAAGGCGCATCATTACCCGTCCCTCTGTCAGGTTTCTGTGGCAGCTGGTGCACAAGGGTGCATTGTACGCCGAACATTCATTCTCACACGCTTACCGAACACTCCCACTCCATCCTCTTTCAGATGCGACGTGAAAAAATACCTGCCGATAGACGAACTGACATAACTATCGGTCGATGTACAAGAGGCAACCACTGGCAATCGCGACGTTGTGAATTCCTTTCACGTGAATGATATTTACTTCAGAAGTATCTCTTTTGAAGGGCATTTGCATGATTTCGTGTGTTTGGGTATGATAATGTTTCGCCTGTTTTGCCAATCGCCAAGTGGGCTTTTTAAACAGAATTAAAAAAATTAAGAACAAATAGCTGCAATGTTTTTGCTATCCATTCAACAGTTAAAGTAATGTATGGCGCTCCATAGCTGTATGAAGGCCTCCCACGGCTGCAAGGTCACGGTGCTTGTTTGACCGTACGCAACCACACAGGTCAGGGCGGGTTGATGAACGGGGGAGTAGGGGTTCAACAAAGGTGCAAATGTAACTGGGCCACCGATGTTAGCCATGGTCGGGGATCAGACTTGGATCGCCAGGTTCGTAGCGCGGTGCGATAACCATTGTGCCACCGCTCCACTCTCATTGGTCCGGTATCTACCTATCTATCACATCTGATTTACAAGATGGCTCCGTAGGTGCTTGACAATTACCCCACCGCGTGCAAGTGGGTGGCACAGCACGTCCCACCGTGCGGATTTTTTTTTTTAAAACGCGCGTGGCACTTGCCGGTCGATCTTGAGCGTGAGCGTGGTGGTGCTGCACGCCTTGATGCGCTCCTGGGCCTCGGCGTGGGTCATCTCCTCCGCGTTCTCCCCCTCGATGGCCAGGATCACGTCGCCGGGACACAGGTTAGCCGAGGACGCGACACTGCCGGGCGTCACCTGGGAACGCGAGCAACAAAAGACGAGACAGCACACGCGAGCGCGTTAGCCTGAAACGCACCCTCGAACACACACGCACACACACACACACGCGAGACAGGCGACTGAGTACGGTTAAGATCACGCATGGCATGCATAATAACATACGTAAGCGCATATGTGCAAATACACCGCTGAAGAATGTGTATGCTTTGAATGAATGTAGGGTCAACAAGGGGCATTTCTTTGCAAGGAACTGTACAAATGAATGAGCAAACGTGCATTTGAGGCGAATCCCACGCCCACTATAAGCGAGTGTGTTTAACAGTGGGGGCATAGCGAGACGTGATCGAAATTGTATGACAACACCTGTGCACGATGGTAATTTTCCATAAACAGACTGGAAAGCTTTGAGATGCGAGCATGGTCACAAGGGAGAATATGGGTTGGATGGAGAGATAAGAGTTTAACACGTAGGCTTTCGTAGCCAATATCATTCAAAATAAAGGTTTTTGGATTTGAGTAATGATGAAGGATGGGTTTAGGAGGAAACTCCAGTTGAAACAATCCAGGAAATACAAACGATGTTTATTGAGCACATTTTCAGGAGGTGAAAGCTTTATAAAGAGGCCTAGAGGCAGACAAAGAAAAATTGCTTCTTGACTACCTGAAAGGATAGGGGTCTAATGCAGTGAATTGAAGAAGCAAGCTAAAGATCGGACAGGATGCTTGAGCCAAAAACTTAATAATAGAATGGTGGATATGTTTGCCAATGCCCAAGGCCAACGCTTAGGTGTCCATGCGGTTCGCAATAGGCCATACACTCGGCAACAACAGCGCAATTTAAACGGTCATAACCACGACATCAAAAGGATACAACACCACACGATCTTCCACGAGAGGCTACGAGCGCTACATGGCCACGTTAAGCGTCCATTCACAACGGTCATGGTGCAGAAGGAAGGAGGGCCCAGGGCCCAAGTGACCGCATTCTGGGGGGGAGGCTCACCGCCGGATGGGGTGGGGACCCGCATTCCGTTTATAGCCACAGTCACCCAGGACAGCTGTCATCACCTGCAAGCCCAGTGGCGCGAGGCGAGATGTCCTGCTCGTGCGCATGTGCTCAGCTATGCACGAGAACTCCTTTTGCCAATGCTTGACGATGGCCTCCCCAACGCCCTGGCCAATTAACCGCCCACACCCACGGTGTTAACTGCCGTTTGCGCAATGGTGTAACGGTCACGTTCTATATATTCACACACCCGACCTTTGCAAAGATCCACCCACACCACAATCCCCGGCGAGTGAGTCAGCCATGCAACGCCGTCCTGCAACTTGGCCAAGCTCGTCGGTGTGGGTTGGTGAAGGTGGAGAGCACACATGTGGGAGCATTGAAATATAATACGGCGATGTACGTCTGCACTGCACTCTTTTCAGCAGAAGCGTAAGATTATAATAAATGCATTGTGGTAACTAGAAGGCAGCCAACAGGGCAATCTATTCGGTGTCTCCAGAGACTGTGAAGAGAGCGCGAGCTTGACGCAAACAGGAAAGCATGAAGTCATTGTGTGGGAATACATTGACAGATCAATAGTTGTACAGATAACTCCAGAACATCCTTGCAGCAGAGATGGCCATGCTAAATTAGATGTTGGGAAATATCTCGAATAGAAAGGAATTTGAAGTTTAATCCTTTGCAGAAGTTATTGTTATTAAACTCTAGACTTAGATGGAAATCTAGACTTACCTGGTTTGGGTATGTGTTGAGAATAGAGTGAGAAAATGGCATTAGCAGAGTATGGAGATGTTACCGGTGCAAGGCCAAAGGATAAAGGAGACCACGAGTGAGATGGAAGGATGTGGTTGAATGAGATGTGAAAGAGATGCGCGGAGAGTAGCTTTAACTTGGGGCAAACGTACATGAGGAAACAATATCTGAGCATCAAAAGAAATGTAACTTCTGGCTAAACTAAAGAATTCGATTCTTGCAGATGTATATATTATGGTCTTGCTCTGAAAGCCTTCACAGACATTGGCTTTGGACGAAATGCTAGCACAGACATTATGAACAATGGAGTGCTTTAAGCTAAGAAAAATTAAACCACAATTTTTTCTGGCGAAAGGATTGCACATGTGAGGGAAAAAGAGCTAAACGTGCATTTTGTTAATGGCATGGTGTCAAAAATGGAAGAAAATAAATATAAAATTCAGCTTTTGTAGTGTTGTGCCTTTAGTGCTGAGAAAAATGTGTTTATTTGAACATTCAGCATATGTAGCGCTTTTCACACTCTAGTTTGAACGCGTCTCCAGAGGCAATGCCTATCCAGATATCCATATCTTTAAAAAAAAACAGATGCTAGCAAACTACTATTGCTTAAGTGAAGAAATCGTATGAAAACAGCAGAGGGATGGTCCACTTGTCTTAAGTTTGTTGTACGATTTAAAAAAATATATGAACTGCCTCTATGGCTAGTGATTTGTGCATCTAGTTTTTTTTAGGAGATTGAACTCCAAAATATCAGGTCAAATAGAATATTTCATCGACTAATGTCCCCTATATAAAATTAAGCATTTTAACATTTGAGTACCATACCTGGCGAAAAGCACCGAGGTCAGACACGGGGTAACTGAGGCGATACTTTTTCGAACGTGACTTCGGTAAAAGTGTTCAAAAGTGAGGCATTATTTTTACCGTCGCCTTCACCTTTTAACGGACACTCTTTGGAAAGCCATCGAGGGACACAAGAAACCCCCCTCGGCATCATAGACCAGTTGTGCTTCTGTCGTTTGGGTTTTAGACTGTGCGAGTATATTTAGAAAACAATCTGCAAGACTGATCACATGAGCTTTAGCGACACACAAGGGCAGAGGCTGCCCAGCCAACGCGGGCAGAAACACCGACACACGTCACCGTAATGAGAGGCCGTGGCTGGGAGGCGAGCAGTACACAGCTCTCTGGCTGCACTCCACCGGAGGAAACCTTCACTCGCCTTTCAAAAAAGATTCCATGCTTGTACTACAGCGCTGTTTATTTAGACATAAAAGCCTAGCTTCTATCTGCCCTGTGACTCTCGCACGAGCTGCGTTTAAACGCATAAAGGCCTTCTTTAAGCTAACGCCGATGCATTGGAGGGCAAGCCGCTTTAAGCTGGCATGTTTGCATTTCCTCTCCCAAATGTTTTCAGTGCATTAAGACCGCCGGCTACTATGAGCCAAAGCTGCCTTTCAAAACTCTTACTCATTCCAAACGACGATGGACGAACGTGCCCCGACATTTCGCGACGGTGCCCTCTTAATACACAGGTTATGCTCAAATTGTTACCACACCAACATCCTATTTAACCTCGACTTGTTCAATTCAGAGATCTAAATTGGTGCAGCGTTTATGTATGTATAAAGGTATCTCTTCATGGGAGTTCTGTTCAAGTAGCTCATCATTCACTTGGGTAATTAATGAGCAGTGTCACGGTACTACATTTACATATATTTGGTGATTTAATAGTTGAGTCCCATACTGCTCAATAATGTGTAATATTCTCCGTGGGCTTTTTGCAATACCAGTATTTATACTGTACATACAGAAATCTGTCAGTTTACAGACATCACCTACTCTTCTTCTTGGTTCTTTCGGTAAAGTCATGCTCCAAGCGTGGTGGTGTTTCATCCAGACGCTGTCTCTCCGACAGACCTGGTCTTCACCTGAGGACGGCTGCTTGCGTTGTGGCCGAAACATCGTGAGAATTATTTTATTTTATTATGTTTTATTTTTATTATTTTATTACTTCCCTTCTACGTGACTTTACCGAAAGAACCAAGAAGATGAATCCCTGCAGTCACGAAAGCTTTAAATAGAAATCACCTACTCTTGTTGTTTATGCAACGTTGCTTTATAAAATAAATTATTGGTAAAAAGCCAATATATATCCATGAATCTATTTCAATCCCATAAAAGGAATGATTTCCCTTTCAATACCAATGCCTGATCATCCCTGAGCATCATCACAGATATTATGCATCACAAAGGAATTGTACCCTCAGTTCACATGAGCCTTGAACAGCACGCATCATGGGACTGAATGCAAACAAGAGGCCGAGTGCTGCTCTCTTTGTACAGGAATTCAATGACATCATCTCCACGATGCAAACAAATGGGTGTCAGCAGAGTTGCCAAACTGAAAGTGTGTTTTGGAGAAATGCCCATATAAAATGACTGCAGTTTCCTGCAGGTTTCACTATGATAGTCAACTTTGGAAGCATGTTTCTTGGAAATGGTGCAACACTCGAATTTGAAGGAGTCTTCTAAAATAGAATGTGTAAATGTGTCTTCTGTGAACTCTGCTAGGAACTGTGAATAGTGGAGGAAATAAGAAGTTTAGTTTCAACATTTAATCTGAACTCAGAACAAAAAACACGTCAATTAATGCGCCACAGTTTATAAATAGCCCGAAATGTGAGTATGCCTGTGTGCTTTTTCTTCTGCCCTTACAAGGTAATCATTACGATACGAGTCAAAATATGTGACATGACTAGACTGTCACTCCAATTAATTCTGATAAGAGGATGCTGGTATGATATATAACTCGGAAATGTTTCATATCAAATAGTGCATCCACTTACTGGCAGCACACGAATCCACAAACGACTGTCGTGTGAACTGCAAACACAATTTCTGATTTTAAGAAACTACTCAAGCGCCATGGTTAAACAATGTTCAAAAATGTTCACTATTTTTTCCCGAATGGTTCTTTTCTGGTAACCGCTTGTTTGCCCATCATTCTGATCGCGGCTTCATGCTGTGCTCGGGGACACTGGACACAGAACTGGCCACTCAAGACTGAAATGCGATCTGTGCAGAACAGGTGGCTGGCAGGGCTGTCCACATCCTCGCAGGGCCCACACTCGCAGGTGATGATTCACGTTGCCCAAAAAAGATCGCTTCAAAATGGAGCAAGGCTCAACCACAGCAGGAACAATATCATTCAGGAAGCCATCTTCACAGCTGTATTATATACCTGGTAGTG